AAAAAAAAAAATCATGATTTAACATTAACTTGCCAGAAGTTAATATCACATTTCAGCTACAAATTTGGTTTGGGAACTTTGAAACTACAAAAAGCAGACAGAACAATTGAACACCATAAAATTAGCGTTAATGATACTAAAAAAAAAGTAAAGAAAAACTGGAATTAAGAAAAAACAGAAAGAAACAGGGCAAAAGAAAATTAGGCTATTTGAGCAAAATTTATACTACAGGATGTATTTTGTACAGACCAAAGAATCCAGGTTATCGCTAATCATTCAAAGAAGTTTTCAGAAGCCTCAATTTATTTACTTGACTGACTGACTGACTGATCTGTTGTTTTATGTCAGTTAACTTTTGATCTGTTCACTCCATCTTAGGTTGGTAATGCTACGTCACTGAGAGCTTCATTTGTCAGCTGACAAGCAGTTTGTTGGAGGTACATATCAAAAACTAAAAAAATTTTTTACTATAGGTTGTATTTATAGTTTGATCTATTCTTTTTGATTACTCTACTGTCTCAAGATTCTTTGTTAAAAAAAGAAAAAAAAAACAAACCAAATGGAAAACTATAACTGAACGAAGGTGGCTAGCTGAAGACTATAAAGTAGTAAAAGATAGAAATTTGTGTTCAAAGCACTCAAATATACAAACCTCAAACTACATAAATTGTTTTTTTTCCTTTCTTTAAAAATTCTATTTTCTCTTGTCTTTTTCTTTTTTTCATTTTTCTTACAGCTGCTGTTTTGTTGCATTAATGTACTGAAAACATGGTAATATATGTTGAAAGGGTAAAGTCCATCACAAAGATCAGACGTCTTTTTGAAATAGTATGTAAAAAAACAGCAAACCAGTAATTGCATGGGAATTTGTGGAAATTAAAATTCAAGGTTACGTGTTGGGTGAAATGACAAAAAAAAAATGTTTAAGGAAGAAGAAAAGTGAGAAGAAGAAGCAGAAGCAGAAGCATAAGAAACACGACGACGACGAATCAAAATAAAAAAAAAAAAGAAGGGAGAGGAAAAAAGGATAGAAAAAAAACAGAAATTGAGGAACAATCGATGGGGGATGTCGATTTAAAGATCAATTTTGCCTTTTTCTCCTTTTCTGTCTCTGCGTTTGCTGTTTTATCCCCAATTTTTCAGCTAATTTTGTTTTATTGTAAACTAATTGCTGTCAAAATTTTTACACCTTTTTTCTTTTCTGTTTTTTGTTCGATTACTACTAAAATTGCTGATGCCAGAGTATTTGTCATCAAATTTTCTGTTATTGTTACTGTAAATGAACGTCTTCTTGCTTTTCTTTTTAAACTTTTTTCTCCTTCTCTTTTTTTGCTGCTCAAAATGTATCATATTTTATGGTCCAAACATCAAAATCTGTCGTTTTTGTCAACCTTTACCGTGTTTTTTTCTTCACTTATTTCCTGTACTTTTCTATAACAAAATTTCAATTGTTTTACTTTCTCGTTTTTTTTGTTGTTCTTTAGCTAAACTGTAACATAATACGCATTTAACAGTGTAACTGTTTAACTGCTTATTCATAGTTTAAAAATTTTTTGAGCAATTTCAATCTATACAGTTTTTTCATCAGCTGAGCATTTATGGAGTTCATTCGAGATACTTCCGGTCACATAGAGTACGAGTCAACAAGAATTAGATAAAGCTTACCTTTTATAGGGCCAACAAAATCAGCATGCAGTCGAACCCACGGTTGGCTGGTATGAGGCCATGGTTGCAACAATATTTTAACCGGCATTTTAGCAGTATCAGCGCATAAAGAGGAATTTCGCACACAGTGCACTATATCGTTATTTAGTTTGGGCCAAAAGCAATATTGTTTAGCTTCAGACTTCATCCTTTGAATGCCGGGGTGGGAAGAATGTAATGTATTGAGGATGCGTTAACGCAAAGCGGAAGGAATGATAACGCGAGAATTTCAAAAAATGCAACCATGATGAAAGGAAAGTTCAGATCGCTTCCTGAAATACATATTAATTTTGGAATTCCTGACGTTTGGCGGCCAACCATTTTGTGTGCACTGTGCAACAAGAGTCAGGTTCGGATCTGCCGCCGTAGCGTCTGGTAGCTCTTTCGAAGTCACCGGAAAAAATTTGAACGATTTGTCATAGACTTGACCAACTTGATTTTCAGCCGCCAATTGTGACTCATCAAAAAACCTTGTCGAATCCTAAAGGCAATCTGGAAGGACCGTCAACATATCCAAAGTGCTTCGTAGAGCAATATTGAATTTGAAATGTGTAGTTCATTGAGAACAGAGCTCAACTTTGGAGGCGACTTGCTGCCAAAACTGGAATTCTTTTTTTGAAGCTGTTTTTTTTGGCATCCTTTAAAGATCGGGGGCCCTGGTAAGGTAGTGGAGATTGGCAAGACACTTCTTACCAAGAGAAAGTACCACAGAGGTAGGGTCATAAAAAAGCAGTGGTGTTTTGCAGGCATTGAGCGAGGGACCACTAAGTGCTTCGTCGTCCCAGTGGAGCGACGAGATGCTGCTACCCTTCTGCCACTGATCAGACACACTATAGTTGTTACAGAAACATATAGTACTATCAAGGACATGCCAGAGGGATACTTGCATGAAACTGTCAACCACAGTCTCCAATCTATTCATCCTGAGACCAGTGCTTACACAAACAGCATTGAATCTTTATGGCAGAAATTTAAGGAGGGGCACAAATCGCGTTACGGGACGGAAAGGGCACTGTTGAATTTGTACATGAACGAATTCATATGGAAAAAAATTTATGAAGGCAATACGCTGTACCACCTCTGGTCTCAAATAGCCAAACGCTATACACCGCCACCAGGTTCCGTCTAAAAGTGCGGAATTGTCTTTCGGCTCCTGATCGACCTGCCTTATGACAGTTTAATTTTTGAGAAGTCCATCGTATGAGGGGCGCTAATGCAACTTTTTTTCGAGATTTTCCGACCTGAGAGAGAAGCGAAATATGGGTGTAAATTTAATGTCAGTGTAAATGCTCAGATACACGCAGAACTCCCTTCTCTACCGT